TACCAATTCCCTCCCAAGCCACAACGAGTGACTCAACAGTTGGGCGAAAACGGTCGCTGGTCATGACCTTGTACCTCTGCAACTTCTCGCGTCGAGCGGCTTGAGTTGAGGCTGTTGTCGCTGCAGACCGAGCTGCTGGGGATATCAGGTATGAAGCGATAATGTTCAAAGTCTTTGCCATTTCGTCTTGGCGGGACGCGAGAAAAGCTAGATTATTGTATATCATGAATGACTCTGGAGAAAGCATTGCAAGGTTGGTTGGGGCAATCCACTGTTGACCCAGCGTCGAATTACCGAGATTCAACTGCAAAGGTTGAACTTCTAGGTCGCCTGGAGCGTTGCGGGACCTTGATCGTGACATGATGGATCAGAAAATGGATTGATCACAAAGGCTGAAAGAGCTCGCCCGGAAGGTGGTCATCAACGTAAGGGCTGTCTCCCGCCGGTTTAATACTGGAGAGACAGGCCCTGCTTGTATGTGCTGCCATGGTCGATTGTTTGCCAGCAGGAATCAAAACACTCCATGGCAAAGCGTCTGCCAGACAGCCGTAGGTGCATCCATGCTGATTTCCATAGCATTCATGAACCTGTCTCGATCTTTCTTGACGCAGTTGTTCGCAGGCAACTTCGCACCAAACCGACAGTCCACAGATACGCGCATGCCAACGCCGCGTCCAAGTCGGAATCGAAAGGTGTGGTAGTTACAAGTAGGAGATGAGTGCCAGTCAGATTGTCTTGGGGCAGCTGTTTGGTGATGATTCTCGCTCCAGCAGTATTCAAGCCAAGCGGCGCAAACTGGAGGTTGCCACTGTTCCGCAGACAACGAGAGCTGCATAGGTAGGTTATGGAGGCTTCCTTGCCTTTCGAAGAGGTATGACAGCTAAATTCTAACGATTTCTTCCTGGGGGTTCTTGCGGCAGTTCATTTTGCATGCGATGCCGCGCATCAACTCCATTTCTAGCAACGGTAAGAATTGTGTTTCTCTGTTTGATTTCTTGCTATGGCATGGGAGCAAGCACATTTGCACCAGTGCAAGCAGAAATCAGAGTACCAAGCGCTGTTGGCAGAAAGAAGGACGTGAGTGACTGTAGGTGCCCGCTCTACACGCACCATCAGTTATTCACCCACCCACCCACCGTGTTTTCTTTTGTCCAGTTGCCATACCCTCCTCCATCCACACCCCACACCATCCATCCCTCTACTTAAGTTCCTGCTTCCTTCACGTCCACTAAACGTGATGCTACCTCTGAAGCGACAAACTCTTACCAATATCCTTCAACACCTCAACCCCCAGCAAGTTGACGACTATTGGAAAGATTTGGGTCACCTCATTAGCTCAACTTCACCCTCAACATCAGACGCAGCCAACATGTCCTCCCTCCAAGGCTGTATGTTAGCTAAAACGCTCGACCGCATAAGGGCAGCTGGAACAAGCAATGAAGAGGTTGAGGACTTGATGGACCATATTGAAAAATCTAACATCGATGCCAGAGGTTTCCACTGGCATGCTCCATCAACCCAGAATCGCTAAAACCAGGTCTTGAGGAATTACCTTATTTTCATCGAGCGCATGATACTCCGTTCTGCAGAGGATATCCCCGAAGACCGATTGAAGGAGTCTGCCTTCCGAAGAGATTTTGACAAGCTCTACAATCTACTGCATAAATTTCTTATCTTCATTTATGCCATGGCGCGACCGCGCTCCAAAGCGACCGGGAAAAGGATTCAGTACCGAAGACTTGCCCACTACAGAGATGCTCTCATCTTCTAGACCGATCATTTTCTCAAGCAGCGTAATGAGGAACCTCCGAAAATATCTGCACTCTTCAACCAAATGGCCGAGCAAATGAAGATGCTGCAGGCAACGTACAGCAACAAGACCGCCCAGAAGCCGCGCAAAACCTACATTGGGGAGGACGAAATCCACCAACTGATCAATTACGAAATGCAGTCCAGTAAATGCATCGAGAACAGTGAGCAACATCAAGTTACTTGGTGCATTGGCTGTATTGCAGCTGTCCGCCCAGGCAGCCTCTGTCTTTCTAAGTTTGGTCGCAACAAGCCCCTCTGCTGGGAAGATCTGACCTTCACAAGGGGGGACGAGCCGGGCATGTTTAATGTCAAGCTCGTTTTCAAGGACCTCAACATCAAGGCTGCTGGAAGTGCCGGCAACAGAGGCAGGGAGCCCCATGGTCTTGAAGTCAACTTTATTTCGCTGAAAGATGCAGAGGAGCTGTTTCTGTCTACCCCTCATCGCCTGCTGGTTATCGCACTTCGTCGCCATTTGATCAAGGGGATTGAGACTCTTGATGAGCTGATCAACTACCCCTTCCACCAAATCAAGATTAAGGAAGAACATCTTACTGACCCAATTTTCTACGCCAGCGTTCCCAAGGGCCAGCAACTCAATCCTCCCCATCCACTCAAAGCTGCAGCGCTTTCCAAGTATCTAGCCAACCAGGGCTTAGCTCTTGGTTACAACAAGGGCATCTTGTTCTATTCGCTTAGGCGCAAGGCCAGATTAGACTTGGTTCATCGTATTGGTCTCAAGAATGCGCGCACCATCATGGGCCATGCCCCAGAATTGCGAACGCTTGAGCGGTACTACCTTTCTCTAGGACCAACAATCGACCTGACCGCCACAATGTCTGAGCGGCCTGTTGAAGCTGGTGGACACTCTACTGAGCTAGTTAGGCAATCGGCTCCTCTTGCCATTAATCGACCTGATGAGGATACAATCAAAAGGACTCGCGGCGCTGCCTTGGAAGCATACACAAGCATGCTCATTTGCATCAAGCCTAATAGTCCCTGTGACTCGACACCTGCTGTCTTAAAGGCCTACCAAAAGAACATATGGTGCAGGGTAAAGAAGGAGCTCGTCGCGAAAGAGGCTAACCTTCAGAAGATGAATATAACCCAAGAAGACTTCTAGGGTCAAGTGGGCGCATTGAAGGCTTCGGAATTTGCAAAGTCCATCCTTTCCCGTGCTCAGGACGCTCTCTCAGGACCAGATATCTCTGCCATTGATGCAGATGAAGATGAAGACGACGCGGCTAAAGGTCAAGAGCTGAATGATGACCTTGGTAAGTCGTCCAAAATTTTGCAGCTGACGCTCTGCCTTGGCCCATCTGACTGACATGTACGCTGTTGCAGAGCTTGACCTCGAAGATGAGGCAGCACGTGAAGGGACTCGCAGCCTTAACATGTCTGTCGACCAGAGCGACTGTCTCTTCGTCCAGCAGGATGAACCCGATGAATATGCCCAGGTATGTGCTGCAAGTTTCCCATCAAATTCATCAAAACATCACCCTTTGAATTCACTTGGTAGGTCGTGTGCTGACAGGACATCGCTTGAAGCCCTCCCGTGAAGAAGTTCTGCTGTCGTTCAAAGAGATTGCCCGAACTTTCATGGACACAATCCTCACCAATGCTCTGTCAATTTCAATCGAATTCAAATCGACCGGCCGCACTTGTGAGCTATGCGAAGAGGACAACACTGCGTCAGAGGAATCGAAGCGCAAGCTGTGGTTCTCGGGGATGTCCCTGAAGCGGCATCAAGAGGGAACTTATCACTCGCGGCGATCTCGCTGGGACCGCATGCAGAAGCTCCGGGTTGCGAGGGATCCTAACCGTGGCTGGGTGTGCCCTTACTGCCCAGAGTCTGCGCAAAAAGACCACGAAAGTCTCAGCCATCTGGTGCGCCACATCCTCAGCACTGGGCAGCGTCGTCGGGAGAGCATTCTGGCGGATGTCTACATGCTCCTGCATGAGAGGCTTAAGGCGGAGGATGGGTGGTACGATGATGATTTCCAAGGTGACGTGAGCAACGAGCGGAAGCGCTCCCGGGAGAGGGAGGCGCGTCGGTCCCTTGGCTCGATGGGCCTTACGTTCGCCGAAATGTCGCAGTACACGACGCCCGAGCCTCACCCAGACTTCCCTGGATTGCTTCAGCGCGGTGACTTTGGTCTGTACGACATGCCAACTCAGTACCAGGGCTTTCTGAAGCCAGATGCCAACTACAGCGCCGGCGAATCAACTCCTGTCCATTTCAGGGACATGTTCATGACTGTGCCAACGCCGCAAGCGCAGGTTGATCATGCCATGAATTTTCGCTTCAAAAAAATCCTGGAAACGAAGTCGTCTCCCATCTACTTCGAGCGCCGCACGCAAGAGCAGACTCGCCCTGGAGAGGCCGAGACGGGTCCTGAGGATCCACCAAACAACTGAAACACTCTTCGATACCAATGGAGGAAGATGTGGACGGGGTTCTTGATGCGCGCGATGGGACATGTGGACGGAGTTCTTGGTGGGCGTGGTGAAAATCAACACGGGGTACGAATTGCTTTTGACTTTGTACGACAATGCGGGTTCGGAGACACACGGGAATCGGGCGGGAATGAGCTTCAGTATCAGGCACGTGTTTTCTTTCGAGAAGACGCGGTCAGTATGGGGGCTCCAATGGTTAGCAGGTAGCTTCAGTCAATGAATCAATGCCAGCTGCACTTCTTTTCGAATGGACTTTCCATGATCATGGAATCCGGAATCCTTGCACTCGGATCCGCGTTGTGCATGACAGCGACTATCCTGACACCTCAAGTACATGTTCATCAAACTACTGACAGACATCACCTCATGACGGTTCACCCGCGCAATCGGCATGCGATGTTCAAAGTTACGCGATTACCCAATCTAGAAAGGTCATCAAATCGCGCTGCACACAACTCTCCATCCACACTATAGCCAACTGCTTTGCGTGACAACTTCATGCCTGCGGCTGCCCTGCCTATAGAGCCTTCAAGGCAGTGATTAATGCCATTGGACACGGCCCTCACTAATGACAGCGACCTCCTCATAACTAGCAATGTAAGACAGCCAACACTTTATACTTCTTGTGCGCAGATGTCTGTGGCGGCGTGCGGGTGGGACTACAGACAACAAAAAGATTTGTGCATGACCACCACCAAAGGCACAACCGCTTGCCGTAAAGGGCAAAAAAGTATTGGATCCGCCAAGAATCGAGCTCGGGACCTCTCCCACATCAGAGCATAGCTTTTGAGCAGCTCGATGCTAAGGGAGTGTCATACCCCTAGACCACAGACCCGATTCTTGGTGTTGGTTCGTTGTAGGAACTTGTTGGAATTGACTTCGGGAGTAGGTTTATGACTAGGATGAGGCAGGAGTCCAGGGGCCGTCGTGGAATTCGATGGGGGCGCCTGGAGCATCACTGACTTGCAGTGAGAGAAGATAGGGAGCCGGAGCGTAGTGATGGAGAGAGACACATATCGGCTGCTTGTATGCATGCTTTTGTCGCCTGAAATCAGCAAGCCGGCGGCGGTTCCTTGTTGAGCAAACAGGAGAAAAAGTTGCGCATTGCCCCTGACCCCAACTTTAATTGTTTTTGACTGATCCAGCTACACTCTGCGCTCGAATATTACCTCGTGCCAGTATTGTGAATACTCTTATTATCTTGGAGGAGCGAAGACGCATGAATGCTCCCAACGAGGCGCACCTTGTTTTGACACACGTCATTGAGCCAACTCTTCCGACGGAGCTTTGCAACAGAGAAGCGTCAATCGGATAAGAGATACATTTGGTCCACTCTGGAAGACCGCTTCCGACTTATTGCGGCTGCGTTTGTCTTTTGCAGAAGTGTTCTTATCGTCTCCTCAGCAGCTGTCTCAATGGCGCCTCCATCACCGCGCAATGGAGTAGCGTTGAATTGTTCAATGATGCCGAGTGTCTCGGAATCGTGGGCCGCAAATCCTGTGAAAGAAGAGCTTGAAAGAAGAGCAGAGAATTCGAACAAGGAGAGAGACTTGTGATGCACAAGAAAAGAAAGAGAAGAGATTGATCCGGACACACAGTGCGAGCCGGGCAGACAAATCAGAGACTTCCCCTGCAACTTCAAACGTCGCAAGCTGGCGATTAAAGTCAACGCGCAGCACCACATTCACAAAAGCAAAGGATTAGAAATTGAAGATGGGGAGTCAGTGATGGAGAGGCAGGAGAGCTTGGTTCGGCAGCCTCTTCTGTGTGCCTGTCCAGTGGCTTTCTACAAGATGGAAACGTATTCACCCCCTTTTCCCAGAGATATGCTTCACTGACCGTACGTCCAGCACATCCCGGCCACACAACGCTCCTCGTTCATGGGTACTTTTCGTTCTTGAACATTTCTTCTTCAACGCTCCTTGTACATGCATGCTCCTTGCCGTGAACACTCCTTGTTTACAACCTCCTAGCCCGCAGTAATCCAAGACTGTCTTCAATTAGATCCATTGTCATCCTCGCCTTCCTTCCTTCAGAGCCACCAGAGTCCACGCCGCCGCCATGGTTTCCTCCCTTTCCACAGCTTCCCGCGCAGCCGCCTCAAGTCTGCCGACCTTGTCATGCAACGAGTCGTTTTGCGTTTTCAAGGCCTGGTTTAAGCGCTGATACAGGTCGTTCCGTTCTTGCAAGGCCTCGTGGGAGCGCTGTAGCCTCTCGTAGTCCGCGCGCGGCACAAATTTCTCCTCGATGGCGGCGGCTCCGGTGTCCATGTCTTGATCTCCGTCGTCAGAGCCCATGACCGTGAGCGGGGAATATGCTGGAGCCTCCATGGTATACTGCTCCTCCGATATACCATCCTGCTCACCATCCACATCCATGTCGTCGTTGTCGTCGTTGTCGTCGCTGACGCTTGCAGTACCCTCCCCCGACTGAGGCTGTGCCTGCGGATACGCGTAATGCACCGGCATGGCAAGCTGATAGTTCATCGGCTGAAAATTCTGTATCCGCGCGAACCGCAGCAGGCAAAACGCACGATACACGTCCTCAGCCTCGAAGATCGGCTCTCCCGTCACGTTCGCCGCAATGTTGGTGCTGTTCCGGAACAAGTGCGGCAGGCGAGCCATCAACTGCACGACGCCCATGGCTTGGCCGACATAGTGCATGTCGTACTCGTGGAACAGCATCATGTTATCCTCCACTCTCAAGTCCTGGAGGCAAGGTTGGCGGAAGAAGCCGACGCGCTGGCGGATGCGGGCGAGTCTGCGGCGCCAACTGCCGCTGCCGTGGACGATGAAGAACATCGAGAAGAGGCGATTTTCGACCCAGCGCGCTACCGGACCTGCCGCGCGGATGTCGCCTGATGGGAACCACTTGCGGTTTTCGGCGTCCAAGAATTGGCGGAAGAAGGCTTCGTGGGTGCGGAGGATGGATTGGAGCTCGTGGGTGTGTGAGAGTCCCAAGTAGCCGCACAGCAGGTTCTTGGCGCGGTAGACCTTTTGGCGAGGCTTCAGATCACAAATTCGCACGACGTTGGGCGGCTCGTTGAAGTTCGCGGCGGGAACGGGTTTGTCGACACGGATTGTGAGCTGAGGATTTCCAGTCTGCTGGGGAGGTCGAGGGTTTGGAATCGCCGCAGTCTGGATACGAGGGCTGTACTGCGGGATGGTGTTTATATGCTGTTGCTGCTGCAGCTGGTGATATGTCGGCAATGTCGACATTGCCGGCGTCGGCTGGAGAAGGTTCTTGTCTGAAAAGGCCATGACTGTGTGTGGTGAGCTTGGAGCATTTGAGGCAGAGATACCGCTAAATCGACTCACCTTGACAAAGAGTACCTTGGTGCTCTGTGATCTGGTTCAGATGAAAGTGTTCTGTGTTCACCGAGTGACCTTCAAGTCGATGCGGAGAGTGTGAAGCAGAGAAGCAGGCGCCGAGAATGTGTAAAGAGAAGCAGGCGCCGAGATTTTGTAGAGAAAAGCAGATGCCGAGAGAAAACAATTGTAACAACAGTTAAATAGCAGTGCATCAGCGAAGGCGCAGGCGCAGGCGCAATACCGTGGCCGCTTCAGCGCACAGACCTATGACAGCACCATATTAACACATTAAAGTGTTAATTCTGGGGAGGAATGGGGAGCAGACCATTATCTTTTCCATTTGTCCAAGTCTCCATCACAGCGGCTCCAGGGAGCATTCATCACCGCTGAAGATGAGGCCAGGGAAGTGTCATTCACTGCTACCGTTCCGCCTATGGAGCTGCCATTCACGACCACAGATAGATTTAAGGAGGGACAGCCGCAAGGGAAGCAGGACGCTGGCTGATATACACTGCTGCATTGGTCTTCTTCCACGCAGCATTCGTGATTGCCAGCACGAGCAACAAACCGGCAGAAGCTCTCAGACTGAACAAACGATTGCCTATGTGTCACGCATTGCATTGGAAAGGTAGATGGTAGAGTTTCCATTGACTGACTGTCTTGTTTCTCCACCATTGATGCCACCACAGTTTGGCTTGATTTTGCAATGACCTTGCCTAGGCCTGGGTATCTCAAAGCAAAACTGTAACCTGCCTTGTGATGTTAGGATCGGAATCCGTATCCCAGTCTCTCTCGTAAAATTCCGCAAGCTGTTTTTTTGTTTTCGATGTTTGGACGACATTCACGCCGGCAATGTCTTAAGGAGGGGTCATTATGTCGAGGAGCCTGAGTTTGCTGTCAGCCATTCTGCACGTAGCACATTCCGGGAGGACTTGATCACTTACCATTTCCGATGCGATTTCAGTCCACCATGTCGGGCATCTTAGCAAAAAGCGGACTTTCTTTGCAACCTTACAGCATCCGAAGCAAAGAGCCCGCATGTTGAGAGTTGCGATTTGAATTTGGTTGTCCTTGGAGGTGCAGAATGGCGTGAAAGTAAGACCGAAGAGACAAAGGATGCGCCGACGGACCGCCAGCAGCGTTGACGAACAGCTCTTTTCAGATCAGGAGCACCGCGCAAGGAAGTTGGACTATTCCGTCTCAGACATGACCTCGCATGGAGAGTCTTCTCCATCTGGATACTCTTCCGAGTCAGATGCGCTGTCGTTAACGGCACGAGCACGGGAGCTCTCGAACTGCTTGCGCCAAGGTTCTTTGGCGCAGTGCTCCTGCGGAGTGAACTGGTACGCGGTGGCCGGGTCAAGATTGTTTTCCTCGTAGAACGACGCCGGCAAGTGGCACGGGGCCAAGGTGCCAGCGACCCACTTCGCAAGTTCAGAGCCTGGAGAAGCGGTGAATTCGGCCGCGAAACATCCCTTCTGACTGAGCCAGAAGAAATGAAGAGGGTTCATGGCCCTCAGACCCTCAATCCACGTCCGCTTGCGACAGCCACACAATGGGCCAACCCAGACGGGCCAACCAGACTGAGTGCAGAAGTGGAGGTTGTGGAGAAGCGACTCATCTTCGAGCATTTTGGCGCTGAAGACACCTTCGATGGCAAGGCAGGCCATCTGGTACGGGTCGAGCGAGCGGATCAAGATTGAAGGGTCCAGGAAGCCATGCAGCCACCACGGCCAATGTTGGACAGCTTCAGGTCAAGCCCCAGGCCAACGCTAGCTCTTCCAAAGGGCATGCAACCACCACACCCAAAGAAGGACAGCCTCAACCGCAAACCCAGCCCCAAAACGGGTCCACGGCCAGCAACCAAGCGGACAAACTCGACGACGACGACGACGACGACGCTCCCCCCGCATCAAAGAGGAGGCGATACAGTTACCGGGGGGCACTAACAAGTCGGATAGCCGAAGCGGTAAGAAGTCGGCCAACCGACGAGTGAGTGAGGTGGAAGGGTAGGCGGCAGGAGGCCTTCGGTGCCTGACTGCCGTGGCGAGGAGAGGAGGAGGAGGAGGAGGAGGAGGAGGGTCGGGGCATGTACGTAGGTACCGAGTCAATACAAATGAACGGACGCTCCACCTCCACCTCCCCCACGCACTACCAATGTTCCTACCATACCCAACAGAAAATGAAGAGACATGACACAGACCAATCCAATCCAATCCATTCCGAATGACGACTCATGATCCATTCATTGGCAATCCACAAGCACGCAGCGCAGCTTATTCTATCAATCGATTGGATTCGGATAGGGGCTGGGGATCATAAACGTACAATTCGCAGGTTCCAACCGAAGACACAAACGACGACTCAACTCACCTCAACAAAGTTCGACCCCACAGAGAGAGCTCACTGGAATTCGTTGCGTTGCGTTTCTGCTTCCTTTCTTCCTTCCTTTCTCTCCTCCTGCATCCTTCCGTCCGTCGTCGTCGTCGTCGCCGTTCTTCGCTTCGCTTCCATCCATCCGCCC